TCTGCTTCTATTGTTTATATTCGCAGCTCTTTACTGACAGCTTTGAATCGGTTCTTGTTGATAAGTTTGTTATCAATGGGAAAACATTTAGTCAACCTAGCAAGTTTAATGAGGGTTTGTTTAAATTGGTGCAGAGCACAACAATTGGTTGTTAAATTTAATGAGAGAGCCAATTTTAAACTATAAAACATGAAGCTAAGAAAATTTAAGACATGCCAATCTCAATTAAAAAAAATTAATCATCGTGATTTTTAATATAATAGCTTTGAAGGAAAAAAAAGATGGAGCCATTTTCCAATTAAGCAATTAAGCTTGGGCTATTTTCTTATTTTATCTCTCATTACATTAATACTTGCAATGCACATAATATTACCTAGTTATATATATGTGGAATTGTATATTATAAGACTATTTACCCATAATTCAAGAAGGTCATAAATATATATATATTGGGTGTGGTTTGTATAAGGGTGAGGTTGAGGCTGAGGCTCTAAACAATTAGAGTAAGGCTTACCTTCAAATGGTTTCGAAATATGTTGTTTCCGTACCAGAAATCTTATGACGACCTGAAAATTTATTTTTATCTCTAGTTATAAAATTTAAAGTTTCAAAAATAATGTAGATCAAACAACACTTGAAATCTTTAAAATTGGCAGTTTAAATAATATATTACAAGATTCACTATTTTCAAAACTTTTTATTTTTTATTTTTTTGGTAATTTAGTGGGGAAGACAGACCCATACTCATTTTTTCAATAGATTAGGGAGTTACATTTTTGTGGGGGGTGTCAGTGTAAGAATGGATACCATGATGTGGTAACTGGGTATGGGGATGCTACCACCACGACCCTAACCCCTTTAATATTTCCAAAACTTGAAATCTATTTTTTTCCATGTCCATACATCTTAAGGTCAAGATGATCAAAATCATAATTTTTTCGAGATGATTGTTTTGGGTCTCAACCTTTATAAGCTTTTTCCATAATATAAAGAACAACGTGGTTAGTAGCCAGCTCTCTAAATATATTATGAGGTTCGAATTACAATTCAGCAACATTAAACACATGAAATAGCCTCTCTCATTGTGTACTTGAATCTATAAACAACATCTCTCTTCCCCTCTCTCTCTCTCCTCTCTCTTAAGCTTGGACTTCGTCTATAAGTTGGGTTAAATGTGAATAAGATTGAATAATAGGACAAAAAATTCCATTTTAATGTATAGTTCTTTGAATTTGGAGTTTAAATTGTGATTGAAGTTTCTATATATGCATTACTGTTGTTGTTGTCTTATTGCTATTTTTTATACCATAATCAACACCTAAGTTTGGCATTTCGAGACTGGGGCATCGCTAACCAATTGTTTGACATATTTAGTAGATAAACCTCACAATCTAGATTACACAATTACAAGGTAAATTTGTGATGGTGCTATTCTATATAATTGCAGCTACACTTTGATTATAGTAGTTAAAGCAAACATTGTGACAGTTAATAGTACATAGCCAATACACAAGCATTTGTTGTGTGAAAAATACTGATATGTTTCTATTGTATATATACGCAGCTCTTTACTGATAGTTTTGAATCGGTTCTTACTGATAAGTTTGTCATCAAAAGAGAAATATCTAATCAACCTAGGAAGTTTAATGATGTCTTCTTTAAATTGGTGCCAAGCACAACAGTTGTTTGTTAAATTTAATGAGAGAGCCTATTTTAAGCTATAAAACATGAAGCTAAGAAAATTTAAGTCATGTCAATCTCAATTAAAAAATTAATCATCTTGATTTTTAATGTAATAGTTTTGAAGGAAAAACAAAATGGAGCCCTTTGAAGGCTCCACATTATACTCTTTCTTGGTCATGATTCACTCTCCATTTGAAATTCTTATGAATTTACTCTTTAGACTACATGAAGGGTTTATGTTACAGACCCCTTGGAATCTTTCCAATAATACTTTGGATATATTCAATGAAACTCTGACAACCATCCATTTTGAAATTTAATGAACAAGAATAATTGTGATCTCTATGTGTAAAAAATTAATGGTAGCTTTGCAGACAATTCCTAAAAAAATATATGGAGAGAGAGAGAGAGCGCATGAGAGGGAAGGGGCTTATGGAGAAAGAGAAAGGGGGGAGGAGAGGGGATATGGAGAGAGAGAGAGAGAGGTGGGAGAGGGGATATGGAGAGAGAGAGAGAAAGAGATGGAGGTGGTTATAGAAGGGAGGGGGTATGGAGGGAGAGGGGAAGAGAAATTAATTTGAGAAGAGAGAACATCCTAGTACATCATTTTTTTTTGGATTTTTTTACCTTTAAAAATCGTTCAACAATAATTTTTAAGAATTATTTGTTATTAGACATATATTATTTTTTGAGATTTTATTTATTGATTTTATACTTCTATTGATGATTTAATTTTTACTGATGTATTATCCCTATGCAGGTTTTCTCCCTGATGTGAAATACGACAAAATTTTAATTCATTTTGATATGTTTATAATTTATTTATTTGCTTTTCAATATTTTATCCTAGCGGTTCATATTAATCTAATTGATTTGTAATGTCATCATCAACTTGTTGTGTTCTAATATATATTATCATTTATCTTTCAACAATATTTTTCTTAATTATCAATATGTTTAGCAGTATTTGTATATATTATAGGTTGATTTTATCATGCTTCTCATCTCTTCCTTTTTTATATGTAATTAAATATTTGAGTAATTAAGGTGTTTTCATTCTCTCTAAAGCCAATATTTGCAAATAGCTATCCATGTCAAAATTGACACAACAACAATCTTTGAATTGAATTGTAATCCATGAATATGACATTTACTAGTTCCTTGTTTTTTCCATATTTATTCATTGATTTCAAATATTTGAAATATGTTGAATTGAATATATTTTAGGGCAACCGACCCCAATAAGTTAGGAAAAGGCTCTAACAATGATGATGGTCAAGTTAAAAACTCAGATTTAGAGGCAAGGTTTGCCAAAAAAATGGAAAAAAGAAAAAGAAAAAGAAAAGAGAGTAATAACAAAGTTTGAAAATCTATCATGTGGTATTGGCTTGTCATAATAATGATTCAAATCCACAATTCTCTTGGGTCAAAAAAATATAAAAGTTTGGGAGATTTAACACAAATATCTCTTTTTAGGGATATTTAAAAAATGTCTCAAAATTTAAAAATATTAAATTTTATGTAAATGCCATTTTTTTTCCTTTTATATTTATTAATACACTTATTAATTTGGTATTTTGAGTTTGAAATTGTGTTGCAGTTGGTTTTATGAAAAATATCACTATTCTTGCCTTTAATAAAATTCGGTACTCAATACTGAACATAAGAGAAAGATAATTGCTCAATATTCTTAGTTCGAGCTTTATTAAAAGCACGAACATGTTCCATTGTTTTTCTTTTAAATGTAATACTCTTACTACTGAACTAATGTCTTTTTCTTACCAAAAAGATGTTATACTCCCATAGAAGAATGTTGTCCATTTACTTCCTCGAGTAAAACCCCGTCTTGAATTAATTTTAGGACCCCAAATTTTAGGGATATAACCTCTTCAACCCTTAAATTAATCTCAATAACATAAATGATCTAATTGCACGCACTATGCACTTGAAAAAATAATATCTCGATAATGAATAGAGACTATCGATATTGAATAAAGACCATCCATTAAATAAAAGAAATTATCTAAGTGTACGTACTATGCACTTAAAAAAACTATATACTTGGGGTGAAAGATGTGAGCCATCAATTATTTTGATCCACCATCAAGATTCAAAGAAAGATGCTAGAATCTTAACATCTATTTCCTAAATCTATTCTCATCAAATATTTAAATAAAAAAATATACTCATATTTCTCTTTTTATGTATATTCATTCATTATTTATTCAATCAAAATATTTTGATTCACAAGATATACCAAATACATTATATTCATTCTTAAACTAAGGAGGTTTTATGCAAAAATAGAAAGTCAACAGCATGGAGGCTTCCCATAAAATTTAGTAAAAAGGCTCCTATGGGTAGGGCGTGCCACCCTAGGTTACCTCTAATGGGCCCCACTAAATTCTATTATGTGATTTAAATAGGCCCCCATACCGTATGAAGGGTCCCACATATTTTTAGTAAATATTTATTTTGATTTTTAAAATTTTAAAATATAATTTATTTATCTTAGTTTATTTGAAATTGATTTTCTCTTATATTATAAATCCAAATGATTAAAATAAAATATCAAGAGAATCACAAAAATTCAAATAATCATTCTAAAAATCATATAATATAAAATTAATTAAAACTAATTAATTTTGATGAGAATCAGATCCGTATAGGTCTAGAATTATGAATATACTGGAGCATTCTATTTGTATGGACCACGATCCTCACTAGCTTTCGCAACGTGATCCAGCAGTTTCCATAACCCACAGTCTATTGCAGGGGTTCATGATTAGACCACCAAAATCAGTTAATAGGTTAAGGGACCCAGTCTATGGACAACATGTTCTCCCCTAAAGACAAATCTATAGTCCCTTAGACCATGATGCAACCACGGCTCCATAGTGCATAGAGGTAATCTCTCGCGCATGTACATGCTTCACCCTCCATAGTGGATCTCTATCTCCGTCAGGGATAAGGCTTTGGCCTAGTCTCTAAAGGTCCACCATCACACACAAGGACCACACAGTCTCTCGGCTCACTCCTCTGGGCAATACTGACCTCATCAAGGGATAATCCACTGAACCCTCATCGGTTTAACTCTATGTCCAGGTACCTTGGGTTTCCCAACTTGACTAGCCTAGCATGTCCAACCAAATCCGAGTATCGACAATAATATTTGCATAGTATGATCCACAAGAGAACCACACTCCCACTTAATTTATGTTTATAGAAGCTCCTATTACTGGCCACATAAACCCAACACATCCAATATTAGTTAGTGAGATTTGACTATTAGACAACTCAAATTTTAATTTTTTTCCCTTTGAGAATGGTCCTTCAAGTGGTTTCCAAAATTTCATATTGAAACAAATCTTCCCCATTAGTCTTTTGACTAATGGAGTAGAGGTCAAAGAATGCTCCTCAGGAAGCATAATATACATGTTCCTTGGCTTATGTTTGGTGTTGAGAGTACCAAATTCTATTGAAGGCATTTATATGTTTGGCAATAGTATTTTTGGCAAAACCAACTTCATCACAATTCAGAAAAACAAAACAAATACACCGAATGGGTGAGGAACAAATACATCGTATAGGAATTACCACACACTCTTACCAGGGCCGCTTATTACATTAACAAAATCGCCCCGAATCACTGGCAAAAGACTCCTATCGAGTCCGATTGGTTCCTGCTCTTCCCTGCCAACTCGATCGGGCAATTTTCTTTGTGGAAATGGCACACTCCTCTCTCTCTCTCTGTAGGACAAGCCCTCTCCCTTGGATTTGATTGAGCTTTTACCCAGTAAGAGTGACTTGTAGGTTGTTGATGGAAATTTAAGCTTCATGCAACATTCGACTGCTGAAATACTTACATACACACACAGAAAGAGAGAGGGAGCCATGGAAGCTCTCCAAGTGCTTGATGAAATTCCTTTGAGAGGCATAGTCTCGTAGATCACTAACAGTTTCCTCTAAGAAGCCAATTTTTTCTGGTAATGACTTAGTCATAGAAAATTGGATCGTACCCAACAATTTTATGAGCAAGAGAGAGGCCTGAGAAAACAAAGAGCCATGGAGAAAATCTACATTCCCCAATTTTCTTACTTTGATTCGCAAAACTATAGCAATTGCCCCCTCCCTTCCGTTTTCCTCTAACACCTAACTTATTATCTCTTTTTATGTGCAGGGATTTGCAGTCTATCTAATTACACAAAACCCAAGTGAGAAATATTAACTTCAAATTCCCATCGATTGGTTTGAGCTTTACTGGAAGCCCAGTAGCGTGTTATCACAAAATGGCCATCTCTATACGCCCGGTACTGCCAGGTTAGCAGTTTTATTTTTTCATTCTATTTCCATTTTTTTAATAATGTATTGCTAGTCTCCTACAGGTTTAACTGTTATGAAAGTACGAGAATAATTACAATGGGCCTATACATTTTTTTTCCACACATTTCATGATCTTTTGTTTTTCTAAATTTGGATATAATTTTCTGAAGTTTTTCTCTTATGCTTGAATTATCATAAGGAATATGACTAGAACTGGGGGAATCCTTTATATTTTGAATTCAAGTCACTAATCTCAGAAGGAAGAAAGAAATGTAATGTGTTTTTGTTTGTCGAATTACAATCATTCTCAATTACTGATGAAATCTTGACCCTAAGAAAATTATGGATAAAAGGCAAATCAAATTGAAAAGGGAGGGGGCCGGGGGGGTTCAGGAAGTTAATGGAAATATGTGGATATTCCTAGTTGGGTTTTTGCTTTTTCTTTTGGCTTTCATGCCTTGAGTATATCTTATTATTTGGAAGTTGTTTGCTGAACGAATGATTACCCAATAATGTTTAAGGTGGTATTGCTTAGGAGAACAGTAGCAAGTTTGGATTATTATTCTTTTTACCACACTTTAGGACCATCACCAACATGTTTATACTTCGCATCGGATGCTTGTGATATGCATTTTGTTTACACCTGTTTTTGTCAAGTATTTTTACATAGTGGGTTGAGTGCACTCTACATTTGGGGGGGGGGGGGGGGCGGGGTCAGCCCATTTTATATAAACAAGATGGGGTAGCCTCTAGCAACTTCTAGAAATGAGATAAATCTACAACACTAGACGAAGAAAACACAACAAGATACAAACAACAAACTTAAAAATTCAAAACCATAGAATGCAAATGAGAACTAAGAATGTTATTTCTGCTGTTATCTCTTGGACCGCTGCGGTGGGCCTCAAGGTTTAAAAAACCCTGGGAGACCCCTAGGTGCCCAACGCCTAGGTGGCCGCCCAGAACCTCAGGTGCCCAAAGTGTGGGATATACACATATATGCATATTATGTGCTGCCTGAATGCACATAAATGCCTATATATGTTGAATATGTATATTCATATATTTATATTTTTTCTAACTTTTTTATACTAGCATATGCGAGTGAATGTTGGAACACGTTCAAGTCACTGAAAAGTTTGCTTCTTTGAATAACTAACTAGTGAAAAGAACACAAATACATACTGTATTAGGGATTTAGTGTCCATACACCATACTCTATAGTGCATACTTCTTATAGTCATACTACTCCAAGTCTCCAATGAGACCAGATGATCAATAGAAAATGATGTTGTACAAAAGATGCTACACGAATGAAAAGAAAGAGGAGATATTTATTCAATGTTTTGGATGTTTTATCTTCAATATTACTGTTGTCTAACAAGCTCAAAATCATCCCAAAAGCTGGCTAAGAACCTCATTTGGACCCAAAAGTTGATTGCAATAAGATATGGTAAGGTTTCGGATGATTCTACAAACTTCTCAAAATTTTCTCGTTTTGAAACAATAGCGATATTGATCAATTTTGGATGTTTCTAGAGCATAGGAGGAGTTTTTTACTTTGGGGGTTTAGAATACCCCCCTTTCATGACTCAAAATGACCCAAAATGGCCCCACAACAATCTTTTTTCTGCCATTTTTATGTAAGTCTCCCAGGCGCCCTTCTAGGACTGGGCACTAAGTAACCGCCTAGGAGGGTACCCAAGAACTTCTGCCTAGGAAGGCCTGCCCAGGCCTAGGCAGCGCAGCCTATGGCATCTTGGGCACCTAGACAGCTGCCTAGGCACTGGGCGGGCTGTTTTTTGAAACAATGGTGGCACTACAAATTTGCAATACTTTTCTTTTATAAAGACAGAAGGATCTTTGAGCCTTTAGACATAATCTCTCTCTCTCCCCATCATGGGTTTAGAGTATGGTTATCGTTTTTAAGAGTTTGAGAGACCAGTCCCTTATTCAGGGAGTAGCTTGTTTGCAAATAATTATCACAATCAAGTTATGCTTAGTCATACTCCCTTTTGCAATGATTAATCGAGCATCTATGCCATTGCAAAGCCTAGCTGGATTATTGTCGTGATGTACAAGACAGGACTGAGGCACATTTGAAGCGCTTGTGTTCAACAATGGTTCACACTGCTTTCGAACATAGGTATGGTAACAAAATGGGGGCCAATCTTTCCCAATGGTTAATACCATAGTGTTATCCCCCTGCACACCTGGTTCCCAGTGTAATATCTGCATATAATTCTGCTCCACATGGGAAGGGCAAAACTTGGCTTCGAAGCTAGTGCCTGGATGAGTAGGAGTAGCATTTTGATCCTACCAGGTGACATGAGGAGCAGGCTCTCTACCTAGCAGTCTGTAGAAGGGCATAGCTTGTTTTCCAATGAGTGTTATTAGAGTAAAACTTTGTGAACACACAAGTATGAAGAAGCCTCGGGAATGTCAGATTAAGCCTTTTCTTGAGCATGACAAGTATCAGAACTCCAGGAGCCACTGAATGCTACAATTGGCATTAGAGCTAGAGGGGTACTGAATGCCACAAATTGGTATTAGAACACTAGGGCCCATGAAATGTGCTAAGTGCTACAATTGGTCATCTGTAGCTCTAGGGGCAACTGAATTGATAATTGGTATAAGAGCTATGTTACTGGGCCCCATAAAGGACGACATTTTCAATAGTGGAGTGTTGTGTACTTCTCAGGAGTTTTTGTCAGCTCATGGGCTGACTGCTACAGTATCAGCTAATGGCGATCTGATGGTCGCAACCTTATTTCGTATTTGAATTTTCATTTTTTTTGTACAAATCCAAATCATTTGAAAATTTAGGCGTACATTCTACTCATCAAGGCGCACCTAATAAAAATATAAAAAATACATTCGTAAAATATAAATTGACCAAAATACCCCTAAAAGTTTTGGAGGTATTTTGGTCAATTTATATTTTTCGAATTATTTTTTAATATTTTTATTAGATTTTACTATTTTTTAAGAATAGACGCTCAAAATTTCAAGTGATTTGGATTTGTATAAAAAAAATGAAAATTCAAACATGAAATGAGGTCGTGACCATTGGATTAGGCGCAGATTCAATCTGGGATGTTGGCTGACACTGTAGCTGTCAGCTCGTGGGATGGCATGATCTTCATGTTGAGGCGCATTATTCTTCCTCCTTGTATTCTTTATTCTTTTATACCTACCAGTATGTCATATCTTCATGTTGTTCTTACTTGATTGTCCCTATAGTGCAATCTAGTCTTTTCATATGTGGCTGTTGCAGTTTCCTGAGAATTGTACTTCATCCAAATCCTGTAGTACATTTACCTTTCCAAAAGCTCTTTGTCGCAAGTTTTTTGTTTACATTATAAGTACCCCACTGATACAGGTTTAGAGTCACAAAAAAGTGTCCTTTAAGTTAATCATGCCTAGATTCTAGTCTCTGACCTATGGTGGGTAGTAGGTGTCATTTTCACTTAACCAAACTGTGTAATGTTCAGCCAAAGTTGAATCGGAACCAGGCGAGGCTAGCCTTCCATGGGCAAAATCAAGAGGAATGGAGCAAGCAAGTGCACAAGTAGGAGTGGCAACAGGTCAGGTCAGTTCCGGGTCGGGACTGACCCCGACCTGACCTGAAGACCTGCCTATGGGAACCAGACCTGACCAAGGCCAGAGTCGCCCTACCTGAACCCAACTTGAATTGATTTGAGAGGACCCTAACCCAACCCGGAAATTAATTCTGTTTGGATCAACCCGACTCGAACCAAGCTGACATGATCCGTATTAAAACATAGAAAATAATAGTTTATTGTCCCAAATTTATAAAAAAACCTAAAAATGATAATTATTTTGGCCATTTTGATTTTAGGTAATATTATTATATTATATGTTAAATTTCTGAAGGTAATATTATTATATTATAGGTTAAATTTCTGGTTAACTAGATTTTTGTATTAGATATGTATTAATTTAACTAATATCCAGGTTGATCTGACCTGGACCTGGAACCTACCCGAGCGCTACTTGGGTCCAGGCTTATTGGACCCAGACTGCCTGGTCCAACGACTGGACTTGTATGCAGACCTGGTTCGGCTTGACCTGACCTAATTGCCAATCCTACGCACAAGTTATCAACAAGTGCTACAGCCCGCTCTTGTTTCATTCCACACACTTGTTTTGTACACAGCCACAAATGCCCCTGAAGGGCAAGGGGTTTATACAGCCTGGAGTATTTCCCAGCATACTCAACTTCAATTACATGGCCGTTAAGGCATGTGCCACTGTTGTTGCCTACCAACTTGTATGGCAGTTAAACCAACCCACGTCCCACCACCAATGACGGCCCACATTGCTTATTAATTTTGGGGGGGTTCAAGGGTCTGGTCAACCCACAACTCCATGAGTTATCACTGCCCATGCATGGAAATTGAAACCTGCATTGTCATTTCACGGCTGTTAATGCCCACCCAAGACCACTACATGTGCACTAATCCTTTATCACATGGCCTATGACCATTACATAAGCCCATGTATGCGGTGTTACAAAATTTGAACTCAAAACCCACGCTTGACGGTTTCTGATCAATATACTTGCCTGTTCATGTGCACGGTCAGCCATGCCTCTTGCATATGAGTCAAGCCAATGTCTCTCAGGTTGTGATGCCCATGGTTTTGACCATCCAAGCATCAATCTTTTGGTCTCGGTAGTCCTTAAGTCCTACCAACTTGGCCATTTGTCTACACCATCTTGTCCTAGGTCTTGCACCAAGGATCTCTGCCTCTAGGTCACATGTGAGTGTGAACCATGACGCACCAGCTTCATCTTTCACTCATGTTTGGTCAAGGCTGAAGGTACTTCCTCATAAATAAGCACAGTTCCATATGGAACTTGTTTGTCCTTTACTCCATTACCAATCCTTTCTTGGCCCACTTGAGGGATGGGGGTCTATCTGTGGGCATTAGCAGCCATGGTTTTCCTGTAATATACCATTTATATGCATTTTCAGGTTTCCATATGAAGAATCTCCAATTATCAGGCAAACGTCACAATCACAAGATGATCTATTTTAGGGCTTGTCAAGCTGCCAAACTTTCACCCAGCAAAGAGGCTCTACAAGTGAGCATCCCATTGGTGAAGATGTGCGGAATTACATCTGCTAAAGATGCTGCGGTTGCCATAGAGGCTGGTGCTAGTTTCATAGGGATGATTGTATGGCCCAATTCCAAACGATCAGTATCAATCCAAGTGGCACAAGAAATATCAAGGGTTGCAAGAGATAATGGGGTAGACCCTGTGGGAGTTTTTGTTGATGAAGATGCAGACCAGATATTGAAGGCTTCTGATGCAGCCAATCTTGAGCTTGTGCAGGTAAATCTCAATTTGAGAAAAATTTGAATGACGCAAATCTGATGTATGCTCTCTCTCTCTCTCCCACCCCAAAGACAGAGACATTGCATGCAAAGACACGCTCTATGTATGTAAATATACGGTGCTTTATGCTCTTAACATTGTAAATATTTATGTTTGAAGTATATACCTTTTGACATGGGGATATTGTACCTGGACCACCTGTTGAGTTTTTGCAGCTTCATGGAGATGGTGCTCGGGCTGCTTTTCCTATCGTGTCACAACATAGGTCGGTCATATATGTTTTGCATGCTGATGAATCTGGAAAGCTTCTCAATGGGATATCAGATGATGAGTCCCTCGCTTCGCCTGACTGGGTTTTGGTAGACAGTTTGTGTGGTGGCAGGTCTTGAACATTTGTTAGATTTGGTTTCCTTCATGTTACATTTCAGTGCTCATATACAGTTCTTTCAGTAGTGAATAATATTAGGTTTGTGCCAAGAGAAAAAAAACATTCTATAAGTACATAGAAATCAAGAACTATTGATAAGAGAGAGGATACTGCCTATATGCATGAATCATGGTCTCTCTCTCTCTCTCTT